ACAGCACCCTCCTTGGAGCTCCCCTCGGGTCTAACGCCATTGAGGAGATCCTCGACAAGAAAATCGCAGACCTTAGGAGGATGGAAGACAGAATAGGTGACATCGATGCCCACGATGCTTTTTATCTCCTCACCAAATGCCTATCCCTTCCGAGGCTAACCTACTTTCTGAGGTGCGCCCCATCTTACAACAACCCAAAGCTTGACGAGTATGACCTCCTACTGAAGACCATGCTGGAAAAAGTTGTTAACCTCTCTCTCAACGAATGCCAGTGGAAACAAGCCACTCTTCCTGTCAGGCTCGGTGGCTTGGGTGTCCGCACCGCCACCCAAATTGCAGTCCCAGCCTTCCTGTCTTCCTCCTCAGCATCAGATGACCTGGTTAAGGAAATTCTACCTGACACCCTGAGTGATGTAGCGGGGATACAGGACCCCCACTACACGGAATGTGACACGAAATGGGGTGCCATGACAGACCCAGCACTCAGACCAGCCATGCCGAAAGCCAAGAAACAATCCAGTTGGGACAGCCCCATTGTAGACAAAGAAGCCACAGCTTTGCTGGAGGCAGCAACAACCCCCAGTGATCGTGCACGCCTCACAGCTGTGCAGGCTCCCCATGCAGGGGACTTCCTTCTGGCAGTCCCTATGTCTGCGACAGGCACACGTCTTGATCCGCAGGAGCTCCGTATTGCAGTCGCTCTCCGCCTTGCTGCCCCTATCCACACTGTTCACAGGTGTATTTGCGGCGAGGCAGATGCTGACGAATATGGATTGCATGGCCTGCACTGTGGAAAATCGGGTGGTTGGCACACTAGACACGACGAAGTCAACGACATCATTAAAAGAAGCCTTGCCTCTGCTCAGTGTCCAGCGGAGAGAGAGCCCCGCAACCTACTGAACCGTGACTCTGTTAGCTTTGCCGGCCGACCAGACGGAATCACACTGCGTCCGTGGAAGGGTGGCAGGCAGTTAGCATGGGACTATACTTGCGTATCCACCCTGGCAACGACATACATCACCCTCTCTGCCGGCACGGCAGGAGCCGCAGCGACACACAGAGAAAAACAAAAGTCAGTCAAGTACAGGCAATTAGATCAAAGGTACAATTTCGTTCCAATAGGGTCTGAGACCCTAGGCCCATGGGGTGAGAGTGCAAGAAGGTTTCTTAAGGATCTTGGTTCCAAGCTCATTGACACCACAAGAGACCCTAGAGCAGCAAGTTTTCTCTTTCAGCGCCTCAGTGTCGCGATCCAGAGGGGAAATGCCCGCTGCATCCTCGGTTCCTGCCCGGCGTCGGAGGAGTTCGAGGAAATCTACAGCCTCTAGGAAGCGAACTTTTTCTTGTGTCCTCTTAATGTTCATTTTTTGTATAAAATCAGATATGTAACTGTATAACCTTGCATAATAAAGTGTACATCATAATAAAAAAAAAAGGGGGTGGTAGGAGAAGTGAACACTCTTTCGTATTCAGAGTTAAATGTCAAGTTTTTCCCTGAGTGCTCTGTGTTCCCTTCTCTGAGGCTGTGGGTCCCTATAATTACACCAGTGGTGGTACCCCCCTATATATATATATATATATATATATATATATATATATATATATATATATATATATATATATATATATATATATATATATTATATATATATATATATATATATATATATATATATATATATATATATATATATATATATATATATATATATATATATATATGTATATTATTAAATATGACCGAAAAAGTAAGATTAATAATTCTAATACGAACTTTCTCAATATTTCTTTTCACTGTTGATGGTAACTGAAAAATCAATTCTCCAAAATTCATTTGGGTGAGGTGATATGTTACAACAGTTTTGGATATATATATATATATATATATATATATATATATATATATATATATATATATATATATATATATATATATATATATATATATATATATATATATATATATATAAAACAAAATTTGATGAAGTGACTAATGCTCAAAACTTTTAACTAGAAAAATTAGCTAAAAAAATTGCAGATTTTTAGCTAAATTCATCAGGTAAAGGTAAAAGGTCCAGAAAACTGGACCTTTACCTGATGAACTTTTTTGTATTTACATTGTTCTCTCATTCTTGTAAAACCAGAAGCACAGCATTCTAGGCAGGTCTCTAGTCTTAATTTTCCATGGAAAAGTCAAACGAATCGTTTAACAATCCATTCACTGCTGGGTACAACAGTGCATTCAGAGACCTACTTGGCCAACTGCCCCTTAACCAATGGGCAGTTTGACATCACACATTTGCAAGCTCATGGATAGGAATCTTAAGAGGGAATCATTCACCTTCTCGGTGAACATTCTAATAAAATCAACTCTACATAGGTTTGTTAAAAACAGATCCTTCCTTACAAACTTCCTCACATTTTTGGAAACGGTGACCGGTTATTACCTACCTGGCCAACTGCCCCTTAACCAACGGGCAGTTTGACATCACACATTTGCAAGCTCATGGATAGGAATCTTAAGAGGGAATCATTCACCTTCTCGGTGAACAATCTAATAAAATCAACTCTACATAGGTTTGTTAAAAACAGATCCTTCCTTACAAACTTCCTCACATTTTTGGAAACGGTGACGGCTATTCAGGCAAAGGACACCCAGTATATGTAGTATACATAGTCCTTGCTGAAGCTTATGAGAAGGTACCACATGATCGACTAGCAAAAAAATTAGGCACATTGAATAAATGATGGAATACTAGTATATAAAATAAAGAAAGCAACAGGCTGTTCTTTTTGTTCTTAATGGAAATGTTAGTAGGAGCCAGGCCTGGGTGAGGACCGGGCCATGGAGACGCCAAGCCCCGAAATAATCCCAAGATGGGGTACTGCAAGGGTTCAGTATGGGGCAAACAAAATCATATACATCAATGACATGATGAGAATATTACAAACTACGTCATCAAATTTGCAGATGACACTGCAATGAATGAGGATTTATAGTAAAGTGGGAACCACTGTATGCGAGCCATCTCACTTCAGTGGAACAGTAAAAATTTAACGGTGATAAGACAGCAACAAGACTAAAACTACCATGGTTGCTAACGTAGGCAGCAATACATGGCCACCAGTAACTTTTTAACCAATCCCTGGATAACAGGCCTCAAATTTAGGTTAATTAAACCCAATGTATTTATAAATAATAATTTTGTATTTGAAAACTCACTTGCATGTAAAGATAATGCCCATATTCTCAAGGTGCATTTAATTTTACTCCTTGCAAGAATGTAAATCATATAATTCCTGTATACCATACAGGTACTTTATTTGCCACCAATGCGACAATATTTAAATTTGATAAAATAAAAAGTATTTTCCCTTTGGCAACCTGAATCAAAATGCTTTGGTTTGATCTACTATTGACAGAACTAGTAGATCATTACAATACACATATAAGCATTACAGCCATTTATACAAAATGCACATTTACTTTTGTTAAATATTGCCAAACCAGATTTTCACAAATCATCCAACTCAGATTCTTTAAGACAATGGAACCTAATTAAGATGTATACAATGGTTAAGGGTTATGCGACAACTGGAGATTAATTAAGACAAGTAAAAGCTGTCACATTAAATAAAATTGTACACGTGTTTAACACGTGCTAAACCAAATGCAAAAGCTATACAACAAAATGTGACATATTTAAAATGAGGAGGATTAGCCATTATTGCTAAACAAAATTTAAAAAAAAATAATAGCCCGAGAACAGACAAAAACAAGATTACTAACCTAATAAGCATGACTCCTCTAGATAATAGGTCATTTAATCTAATTTTAGCCAATAATGTAATTAAAATCAGCAATGTTGGCCATTACGATATGATTATGTTACTTTCTGAAAGCCATTACTGTACCTCAAACATGGCAATACCAAGTACAGTATCTGTTCACTGGTAGTGACAATAGAACTGATCAGAAAACAGTGAGAATATGTTATGATAAAGTTGTAAAAATCTTAAGGGCGTAAGATTTAAGATGACTGATTGAGATCTGACCTAAATGTTTTTTTTAGCTTGACAAACTTTTGCTGGGTGCAAAATGAATTTAGAAAGACATTTAATTGTTGTTGAAAGATAATACTGTAATGTATTAAGCTGCTTGAATTCTATACAACTGAGATGATCAAGAAATGGAGATAACAACATGTGTAACATTAGCATGAGTGAAGGGATAACCGTAACATTAGCATGAGTGAAGGGATAATTCTAAAAAAATTATTTATATTATTACAAACAAATCACAATAATGTGATGCATCAAATGAACAAATCCACAAGGGAACCTACATCCGAGATTGAACTGGGTCATAGCTCAGTTGGTAAAAGCACGTCTGGGAGGATCTCAAATGTAGGTTCGAATCCTCGTCACGGTCCTTGTGGATTTGTAGATTATTTTTTTACAAGAAATACAGTTCAGAACTAAGGTGAGGTGGAAGGAAAAAATATATACAGTATATTAAATTATAGTAGAGAGGACAGATAAATTAAGAGAGAAAGATCAGCAGACAACTGAAAATAAACACCATAAACTAGGACATGAACTCAAAACAACTTTTCATAAATCATAAATAGTGTGGGGAATGGGTGCATGTGAAGAGCAAATGAGCTTATAAACAAGATAGTTAATCTAAATGCTTGTCAGCTGTTGCAACATTATTATTAACATCTTGATTTATGTCAGTATGACACATTGGTGGAATGTTAAGATAATATAAACTGTTTAAATGTTCAATGCATGGAAATGTATATTCATATTGAATAATGTGACTAAGTGAGAACCCCCAAATATTTGTGGTTAAATGGGTTAAGAAAATATGAATGTAATGGCCAAATTTACAAACTACTGTATTACATTACAGTATGCATGAAAAAATACTGTACATTTAATCATTATAATGTAAAGATATGTCTATGTACAGTTTGTATTTTGACATTACTAAAATCGTGTATCTTATACAGCCAGTGAGACTGTATGTAACTACAGTACCCTCCAGTTTTGAAACTTACAGTTTTCATAGAAATATCTATTCCACTCATTCATAAAATATTGTAATTAGACAATACTAAACATGAGGCTATATTCTCAATACACATGAAATTCGAAAAATCAGACAAGTAATTCCTTTATTTCTATAACAAGTCTATTGTATAACTCAACTACAGTATTTCATAATTAAGATGAACATAAAAAAAATTGCACAAACTGAATCGATCAGTTTGCAGTTTCACAAGCGTCAATCCATTCATTGTAAACATCAACAGGTTCCGAGAGGTAGTTAATAGTACACTGGAAGTCTTCCAGACACACAAGGCATGAAACTCTTCCAGCATTCCTTGGTTTATTCCTGAAAAAAATGGAGAAATTATACATGGTGCTGATACATCCAAAACATATGTGCAAGAATTTCCCCAAATGTCAGTGCCTATGAGGAATATCTCTCAGGAAATTTTGTAAACGTTTATAAAATATAAAATCAAATAATAAAGTATATAAATTGAAGTTGACCATAAATTTATTAATGAAAAATTCCTATTGGTAAGCAGTAAATATTACCTTCAACTGGAAGATACAAATACTATGCAGTACTTACATTTTAACTTCACATGACTTTTCGTGATTACAGAATGGACAATTAAATTGCGTATCCAGTGGTTCAATATTCTTCCTCTTTGGAGGTGGCTTTCTCTTTGACTTGCGACGACCCATGTCTGCTAGTCGACTATAATTTGGAAATCTGAAAAATATTTTGGTAAATTTAACTACTGTGTATAAATTTGACATTTATTTCTGGGAAAGCTCTTTATGGCTCCCTGAAGCAATCTCACTGAGAAGGCTCCCATCTACTAGGTTGCATCAGCTGTCACCCCCATCAGAAAAGCATTCATTGTCAGTGAACTACTGCTTCCATTGCCCTGACCAGTACAGACTACTGCTGGGTTCAAAGAGATCCAAGTTTCAAAACTGCCAAATGAACTCCCCCCAAACAATGTAAACAAACAACTGAATCTCTTGAAACCAGCATGAGCTCATTTACACTAACACTCAAGCCCACCAAAATAATTAAAACTAAATGGGTAGAACACCTGGAGAAAAACTATATAACAGACAGTATGATTTATGATCTGGAAAATCCTGAGAAACAAATTTACTTTGTTTCTATGATAGAGCCACAGAGGTTTTACAGGAAAGTGATGGATGGGTTGCTAATTTATATCTTCTGGTGTGATATCAACCCCAGATATTTACCTGAGGGCCATTAGTGATGGCTCTCGGGTAAAATAAATTTTAGTAAGGGAGCAGAGACTGAAACTGGATCTTGTTGTCTTGATTGCTGATTTTTGTCGAGCAATTAGGATAATTAAAGATAGTGGATCCCTGGACACAGACACCATTGGTGAGATCTGGACGAGTTAATAATACAGTCATTAAGGTAGAGTGTGATACGTAGTACGTATCAAGGGGGGGATGACCTTGATATAAGCCTAAAGTATGCGTTATACTTTATATCATTTATACTTTTTTTTTAGAGATTATACTTTAATCCCAATTACTATTAAGTTATAGAAGTGTGTAAGCAACTCTGGCTTCCTGTCCCCACAACACAATGAATTACAAAATTATCTGATTATGGAGCAAATTTATACAACAAAATGTACACAACCAAATAATGATGCCTCTGATGTCAACGGCGATTAGTATAGACGTATACATACAATACAATCTAAATTAAACATTTGCCAGCAAATGTTTATATTGCAGCCTAGTGGAGCCAAACCCGCCAGCAATTGTTAAATATTTAACAATAAATATGTTAATATTTGTTTACCCGTAACGAAAACAGTAAATGGAGAACAAACCAAGAAGAACCCGAGAGTAAGAGCAGTGCAAGAAGACAGCAAGAGGAGGACACCCAGCGAGAACAAACCTTGCAGGTGGGTGCACGCAGCCTCCTCCTGGCGCCACTTGTAAACAATGACGGCCACCCAGCTGCCCGCTCTCCCCGCCACTCATCTCATTCACTACATGCTTATACTAATATTATAAGCACTACATGCTTATACTAATATAATAATATTATTATTATACTAGTATTATTATACTATTATTAAGTATGATAATATTAATAAATATAATGACCAAAATTATAAAATAATTATAATTATGGTGGACAAATAAAATTTATATGTTTAAACTGCCTAGCTTATAGATAAAATTAAGTTAACATTTACCTGAATATGCCTATTATCTACCTATATGGCCTCGATAAGGGACAGGAAGCCGAGGGTTTATCAAAGGTTCCCCCTCGTCATTTACCTGAAGTTTTTTTTAACTAACCTTTGAGTTCTTAATTGTCATTAATACTTTGTAGCGAATAGATAATCCCATACACATTATTATATACTCGCTCCAAAGTCTAATGAGTGAAACAAAGCTCTCATTAGCATTAATTATAACTCAAACCTTTTCTATACTTATTACTTACGTAAACAGAAGTTTGTAAGTGACACTTGGCGAGCAATAGCGTGTTCTTAAGCGTCTGCTCTAAGCCCCACTTCAACGTAGACTGATAATTACTCACCTCTCTAGCGCTGCTTATATGCATACACCACCTCACCGTCCTCCAAAGGTTGGAAGAAATTTTAACTGCAGGAAGAAAAAAAGGTTTGAGTTCCGTAGTTAGTGCTAATGAGAGCTTTGGTTCTCTCATTAGGCTAATGAGTTTGGAGCAAGTATATTATTTCGATAATCTACTCGCTACAGATAATCCCAAAAGCTATAGCTGGTTCCACAGATCTATTTAGAAATTTACAGATTGATAAATGATGGGAAAGTTCCCTTACCTTTATCAGGAAGACGTACCTTTATCAGGAAGACGATGGTTGGCAAGGATTTCTGTGTTATTAGATACACACAGAAATCACAATAACGTGATACATCAAATGAACAAATCCACAAGGGCCGTGATGAGGGTTCGAACCTACGTCCAGGATGATCCCAGACGCGCGAGACAGAACGCGAAACAATGGGTATAAGTTGGATAGGTTTTGGATTTAGGAAAGACATGGGTAAATAATGGTTTGGTAACAGGATTGTTGACTTGTGGAACCAGTTTCCGCGTGTCTTGGTGGAGGTGGAGTCCCTCGATTGTTTCAAGCGTGGATTGGACATGTATATGCTTTGGTTTGGGTGATTAATTGTCATGATAGAGTTACAAGATACGAGCTAGATGGTGTTGAGATTGCGAAGTCGGATTGCGAAAGGGATCTGGGAGTTTTGATTAGTAAGAATTTAAAACAAAAGGATCAATGCATGAATGTTCGTAATAAGGCTAATAGGACACTAGGATTTATTAATCGAGGCGTTAGTAACAAGACACCTGGTGTGGTTCTTAAGCTATATCTTGCTCTGGTTAGGCCCCATTTAGATTATGCAGTTCAGTTTTGGTCGCCGTATTATAGAATGGATATAAATTCACTTGAACGTGTCCAACGTAGGTTGACTAAGTTAATTCCCCAAATTAGAAATCTTTCATATGAAGAAAGATTAACAAAGCTTAAGTTGCATTCACTGGAAAGGCGAAGAGTTAGAGGTGACATGATAGAGGTTTACAAGTGGATGAATGGACATAACAGGGGGGATATTAATAGGGTATTAAAAATATCAACACAAGACAGAACACGAAACAATGGGTATAAATTGGATAAGTTTAGATTTAGGAAAGACTTGGGTAAATACTGGTTCGGTAACAGGGTTGTTGATTTGTGGAACCAATTGCCGCGTAACGTGGTGGAGGTGGGGTCCCTAGATTGTTTCAAGCGCGGGTTGGACAAGTATATGAGTGGGATTGGGTGGTTATAGATAGGAGCTGCCTCGTATGGGCCAATAGGCCTTCTGCAGTTACCTTGGTTCTTATGTTCTTTCCCCCCATGCTCATAGTTCCCTTGCCTTCTTCCATTATAGCCTACTGTCGAGGGGATACTATCTCTCTCTCCCACTTCCCCCTCTCTCCCGATCACCCCCTCTTTTTTACTATCCACCCCCTCTCGCCAAATTTATTCCATATGATCTCTTTCATTCTCACCCTTCTCCCTCTCTCCCTCCCTCTCCAACTTTTCTCCCAATGTCCCTCCCCTCCTATCATCTCAAAAAATGTTATAGCGAAATCACGTTCATCGTTTTCAAGTGAAGAAAGCTAGGGACTTGGCTAGCCATCTTTCACCGATTATGTGGGTGGCGGGGCACAATCAGGATCGATCCTCCCTCTTGACCTGTATGACCGATCACGTTGGTAAACAGTGATTCTACGTCCAACGAGACTCTTATCCCTGTGGCCCGTGTTCCCCCACAGTAAGTCAACAAATTCCTTTGGAGACTTCAGGCTGAAGGTGCAAGGGACATAAGGAGTCAGCAAGCTGTTGAGTCGCTTCGCCAGTCTGTACGTGGGTGTGGGTATCTGGCTGATGATTGGCCAATGTGGGTTTCCAGCTTATGTGTCTTGACATTTCCATGTGCGTATCCAGGCTTATATTCCCCAATATTCTTTGACAGGTGGAGTCCGGATTTTTTGGCGTTCATAGTTTCAATCAATTTGTTGACCTTTGCTTTCAATTCGGCTGTAGTGTCCTTCGTTACCCTTTGGAATTTTGTTTGGTCAGAGAGAATGCGGTTCATTTTCGCCAGATATTCGTCTTTTTTAAGTATGACATATATTGGCGACTTGTCACCTCTCCTGACGACTATCTCCTTGTTCTCACAAAGGCTCTTAGCTGCCGCTTTGAACTCGGGGGAAAGTATTGTGCTTCTGTAATTGCCTCGATTCTTTCCTCCTTCTGCATTAAGTTCTGCTTGTAAGGTGTCGTTGGTGGTGACCTTTGTTTGTGTCTCGAGGTTGAATATGTCGTCCAACAGGATCTCCAACTCAACTTTTTGGGCCATCTCACTTGGTCTGGACATAACGTGACAGTATATACCCAGATTTAGGAGAGTGACGTGGTCCTCAGTGAGGTTGATTCCTGCCAGGTGACTGCCCAGACAGGTACAAGAGGAGTGTCGTAAACGTTTATGTCGACCGTGCTCTCAGCCACAGCTCAGGATGGAAGCAAGTAGATGAAGAACTCTGTAGGGTAAGGCAGGTCCTAGTCAACAACGGCTTCTCCAATGGTTTCGTTGAATACATCATAAGAAGGAAGGTGAAACGCCATGCAATCTCTGATAAGACAACTAACACAACACCTGTACCCCCACTATTAGACTATTTTACAGGAACTTCTTTTCCACAGCTCATAAAACGGAGGATATAAAGATATTGAAGATATTAAGTCCTGAAAGACATTGTTAATAGAAACGTTATCCCTACAGACAAAAATCAGAAGATACAATTGACGATCTACTATAAAACCAAGAAAACGGCCAACCTACTCATGAGAAACTCTCCAGACACAAAGCAGAACGCTTTAAAAGAGACCAATGTCGTCTATGACTTCAAATGCCCACTTGGGGTCTGTAAGCCTCAAAGAATTCAGTATATAGACAAGAAAACAACATCTCTTTCCGATGCATAAGCAACAGGGCTCCATTAAGGAACATATAATCTCTTCCCACAACCAGACCAATTCCCATAATTCGTTGTGTTGGGGGACAAGCAGCCAGTGCATATACATGTTAGTCTTATATCGAGGTCAAGTGGTTGGGCAACATTCCTTTCCGCCGTCCCATCCCAAGTCCTCATCTTGATCCGTTCCAAATGCTATATAGTCGTTTAGATTACGCAGTTCAGTTTTGGTCGCCGTATTATAGAATGGATATAAATTCACTTAAACGTGTCCAATGTAGGATGACCAAGTTAATTCACCAAATTAGAAATCTTTCATATGAAGAAAGATTAACAAAGCTTAAGTTGCATTCACTGGAAAGGCGAAGAGTTAGAGGTGACATGATAAAGGAAACTACTCCAAGCTTGTACTAAAGAGGCACCCTTCTTGAGCCCGGATGGGCACATGTATAAGCAAGTAGATGGGGTCGCCATGGGTACTCCCCTAGGTGTCCTGTTTGCGAACTTCTACATGGGTAACATCGAACAAAAGGTCTTAGTCGACATGAACTTAATACCGGCCATATACTGCAGGTATGTTGACGACATTTTTACACAGGTACCTGATGTCAGACATCTGCAGGAGCTGAAGGAGGCATTTGAGCAGAATTCTGTGTTGCGTTTCACTTACGAGATGGAGAAGGATGGGAAGCTGCTCTTTCTAGATGTAGCAGTCATGGAAAGGAGCGGAGGTTTCCACACTGCAGTCTACACTAAGGAAACAAACAGGAATGTGCCTAAATGCCAACAGTGACTGCCCAGACAAGTACAAGAGAAGTGTCGTTAACGCTTTTGTCGACCGTGCTCTCAGCCACAGCTCAGGATGGAAGCAAGTCGATGAAGAACTCTGTAGGGTAAGGCAGGTACTAGTCAACAACGGCTTCTCCAATAGTTTTGTTGAAGACATCATAAGAAGGAAGGTGAAATGCCATGCAACCTCTGAAGAGACAACTAACACAACACCTGTTCCCCCTATTAGACTATTTTACAGAAACTTCTTTTCCACAGCTCATAAAACGGAGGAAAGGGTCCTGAAAGATATTGTTAATGGAAACGTTATCCCTACAGAAAAAATCAGAAGATACAATTGACGATCTACTATAAAACCAAGAAAACGGCAAATCTACTCATGAGAAACTCTCCAGACACAAAGCAGAACGCTTTAAAAGAGACCAATGTCGTATATGCCTTTAAATGCCCACTTGGGGACTGTAAGCCTAAAGGAATTCAGTATATAGGCAAGACAACAACATCTCTTTCCTGGCAATTAACGATGCATAGGCAACAGGGCTCCATTAAGGAACATATAATCTCTTCCCACAAATAGACCATCACCAGAGAAGTCCTAACTAAAAACACGGAAATCATCGATAGATACAGCGA